ATAGCATGGGAAATGTCAATAATTTTAATTTTTTAAATTGTGGTTTACAATTTTCAGCACTCGGTATACTTATTTGCGATAGCACGCACACACTTTTTTGTTAAATGTAATCATGGCACCTTGTACGGCATTGCCCCAAAAAATAACACCGTAGCGCACAGTAGAAGATACAAGCCGTGATATACCGTCTGTAAAGCATCAGTCTTCATTTACTACTAACATACTACTTCATTTACTATTAAGCTAATCATTCTATTTATTTTATCAATTATTCAATTTGTCGGAAAAAATCTCCAAGTTTTTCGGATAAAATATAGTCTAGTCTAGGTCACTCCTGACATTGCTCTCTATGTTCAAGTTTCATTACAATAGAAAATTAGCCCGGACAGATAGACAGACAGACAAACACTTCAATTTCATTTATATGTAGGTATAGATAAATAAAGTTATAGTGTTTGTAACATCCAAATAATAGCCTTTTATTGAGCTGATTGAAATTGATGAAATTATTTACACGCCATTAAGACACGATCAATAATTTTTTAAATATTTGTCTGTCTGTTTGTTTGAGCTAATCTTTCGCAAAGCTGTTCCGATTGTGATGAGACCTTACGAACAGTGACCAGTACCTGGAGGGATATTTATTTATTTATTTACAATTTATTGCACCTTAATAAAAAAAGGATTACAAAGATCGGACTTAATGCCTTTAGGTATTCTCTGATTCTCTCCCAGTCAACCTGGGACGTCTGGAAAATAATGTGATAAGTGACAAATAAAATGAACAATAGAGTAAATCAGAGAAAAAACTACTGATAAACTTAACTTAACTAGATAGTTTTCTAACGTCATCGGGCAAGGAGTTCCAGAGCAGTGCAGCCTGAATGGTTAAGGATTTACCAACACTATTAGTAAAATGTAGTGGGATATTTAGTTTATTATTATATGAGGAACGCAGAGTTCATATACCGAAATTTCTCCTTGAGATGTGAAGGAGTGGATGGATCATTTAAGATAGAGAATAGATATAATAGAAATATTAGGGAGAGGCTATATTAGATCCGAAAACTTTTGAGGTTTTTGATTATCATGTCTAAATAACGTCACATTATTAGATTCAATCCATGCGAAGTCGGGGAGCTAGTATGTGTATGCTTCACGTTTCGTTTCATTATAGCCTATTACTAAAAATAAAGTCCACTGTTGAACATAGGCCTCCCCCATAGATTGCCTCGTAGGGGATATATTTGCCATAGTTGACAAGCGGGTTCGAAACCGATTTTTTATTATTAGTCGTTATTAGGTAGACACTGCTGAGCGTGGCAAATATGGCAAAAGCCCCCTGTGAGTCAGTCTATGGGGGAGCTCCATGTTCGGCAGTGGAAAGTTCACTATAGACTGCAGTAAATTGGTGGAATGATTCTACACAATAACCGCAGCCTAAACCTAAAATCTCGTTAATAACATTTTTATATTGAAATAATATTTTTATTATTAAGCACAAGTCTAAAAGAATTCCACAAGTTTTCTACATATAAGAAATTCGCCTTTCCCCTTTTGAACTGAGGTTTTGAATTCTTCATAGTTCAGTCTCCGGATATTTATCAAAGGATATTTCACATTCTCCGTCTTCCAAAAACTTTCTAATTTTCTGCAATACATACCTAAACCTTATCTTAAGACCTTAACTGAAAATATAAGGATAAGAAAGATTTCTTCTTCTATTTGCACTTAGTTTTTGCTGTTGTTTATTTCTCAGTAGCAACTTAAATAATAATAAAAATGTCCTCCAGACCGAATTTCGCTCACAGCGGCCAGTCTCAACGGAGGATAGAATTAAATTGCACGAGTGTATGAGCAAGCACAGGTGCACTACCAATCTGTTCCCTCATTCTTATAGTCCCATGTAGAGAATCCAATCCTACACGTTATTTGCAATCTCGGTATTTGCGTGGTCGTTGATTTTTGATCCAAAATCCAAAATTGATGAAAAATCAACGATTTTTGATCCCGCTGGAACCCGGAGTTTGCGAGATCTCGCAAGTGTAATATCTCGCATATGTAAATGCTACATGAGCTGCGCTACCTGTTTCGTAAAGTAAAGAGGTATTTATATGTTAAAAATAAAATCTGAAAGTAGATATGTATTTATTTTGTCCATTTATTACTTTTAATAATTATAATGAGCTACTGAACTGAAGCAATGAAAAAATATAACTTTTCAAACTTGTTAATGTCCATTATCTCATACAAATGTTAATTGCTCATAATTGTAGGAAATTTTATGGTCTAAATATTTATAAGATATTTTTTTTAATATTATTACAGGATTTGTGGATGCTATCAAGGTAACTAAACAGAGGTTTCCTTAGTTTCCATTTTAGCATCAATTGTGGAGCAAGAAAAGTGTGAAAGTTGTGAAATATCTAAAATCATTTCACAACTGTATTTTTTTTGTTACTTACTTAAATAGAAACAAAAAAAAAATACAATCAATTTCATAAACTTCAAGGAAAATAGTTACTAGAAATATATTTTGATTTATCCCTGAACTATTATGATTTAGGTTATAATACATAAGATATTAAAATTTCAACCATGAGACATTTTTATGAAAATACTGCGGATAAAACGATTATTTTCACCAAATTGTGTTACTTAATTTATTATAATAATAGCGTAATATGTTAGATAAACATCTCTTTTTACCTTTACTTTTTAAAATTAAGCTTTATTATTTTTTCTATGAATATTTAAAAATACTATATTACTCCGCGTTTGGATTAATTCAAATTACCTTGATCCTGCCGAATAATGATCGCCTGAATATTCGGTTCGGTATAAGTTTTACCGAACTTTCGGCCGAATATTCGTATTCGGTGAAATCCATATTCGGCCCATCTCTAACAATAACTGCTTACCTCCAGTGCTTGTTGACCCTCGATATGCGCGATATATGAATCAAAGAGATCATAGCTCACACTCACATACAAGTAGTAACATGCCGATCAAAAATAGTGTAAAACCTTACATTACCTCTTCTATTTTTGTTTTTTAATCAAATCTTGCACAGTAAAGTACCTACTATGCATGAAAAATTTATATAATGAATATATCATTATAAAAAATTCTAATACTTTTTATTAACTTTTGTTTTGATTAAATGTAATTTCTTCAAAATTTGTTACATGCATCTTGTTAGCGACGCGGTGTAATCTTTCCTAAAATGATCATTTAGTTTCAATGTGATAGAACGTCATTTATTATTATTTATTACACATGATTATTAGCTAAAGACAAATTTTATATTAACTTAGAGTCATGAATTGCGTAGTAATGAGCTACGTAATACGAACATTACGTATTAAATGATATGTTGTTTGTTATAATTTAGATTTATGTGTTACGCGACAAAAGTACGGCACACAATAAGTGATAAGAGATAACGATAAGAAGTTAAAAACTTATAGTCATAAAATGTTAGAAAGAAATAGTAATATAAGTTAAAAAGAGATAGATATTGTTGTTAGAAATAGATAGCAATATATTATTCTTACTTGGCATCTAGCATCTAGGGTCGTGTGAGAAACAGTTTGTCAACTCGTGTATTTAGTTTGATAAGTACCACACAAATCGTAATAATAAAATATTAACCACAGAAATCACATTATTATGATTTCTGTGGTTATACCATCAAGTTGGTCGAGTTTCGCAACTTATTAGTAAGAATTATTTCATGAAAATCACGAAATAATTTTGAAACAGAAAATGTTTATTAATGTTACCAACAATTTAGAATGGTTTTATAAAATAATAAGACGAAGAATATGTTAACGAAGAAAAGTATTTAATTCTAATGGAAAATTGTTGAATAGTCATTAAAAATTAATATAAGAAATTTAATTTTTTTAAAGATTTTAAAAAATGCTAATATATTGCCGCCACTACTTCAACTCGCTTGACTATCATGTTGCTTAATGCTTAGGGATATTGCATGTGCTTGCTCTTAGGTGGATTATGTGCTCGTTGTAACCCTTATTTCTATAATAAAAACACGCTTTAAAAATAACATTAAATTAAATTTTAATCCAGTTTATTTTTAACTAGAATAAGAGAAATCATAAGAATTTCACATTGAAATAGTGTGGTAGCTTGAGTAAATTTCGGCAACATCCAACTCAAGAAGAAAAAATAAGCCTTTGTAGCAGGATCAATCAACTGCTTATGGATTTCAAAACATTCGTTATCTTCAAGTCATCTTCCGTTGAAAAATAACGAAAGTGCACTCCATTGCTCCAAAATGCTTTCCACTACTGAACTCAAAGACAGCCATCTCGTTTGAGCCGGTTTTAAAATTTTGTGTACTTCAGTTTCGGCGAAAATTTGAAATTCTTTTAGCTGCGATTGTCTTTTACTACTGGTCGAAAAATAATTGTATATCTTGAGTAAGTTTTTCACAATCGGCAGGCAACTGTTTGCATGCATCGCTTGCACAAAGATGCAAAGAATGACAAACACATTTCAGTACAATTATTCCGGGACACTTTTCTCGAAATCGACTTGACACAGAGTTTCTACAGCCCATCATTGTGTTACACCCGTCTGAACCGAAACCTATAATATTTTCAACAGGGATGGAATTTTTTTCAAACGATTTCAACACAGCTTGAAAGAGATGTTCTGCTGTGGCAGTAGCAACCTTGTTCTCATCTCCATGTATTTGAATCAAATCAAAAAATCTGCTTACAATTTGGCACTTCTCTGGACAGTAATACCTCACTACGACACACATCGTTTTCACCGATCCCATGTCCATGCATGCAAAAACAAAAATTTTCAGTAATGATTGACGAAACATTACTGAAAATTTTTGTTTTTTTAAATCTGCACATAGTTTTTCGGAAAATCCCAGTAAATTGTTAATTACGGCCTGAAGTTTTGTCCGCTTCATTTTCAACTTTTATGCTATGTCTGAGTCGGGAAATATAATGGGTGATAAGTTAATTAAATGGTCCATCACTTTGTGTGAGGTTTTTGTGTTCCGCCATGAATGCCGCCAACTTAATTTCAGCTGTTTTTCGTTTCTCTTCTGATGACATTGATTTAGTTTTTTTTATGTGTTTGATTCCTTCACTGTGCCTCTTCAAGGACACTCTGTCTGTGAACATTTTCGCATCACACATTACACAAATAGTACGAAACGGGTCTTTTGGATCACGTTGAAGCGAAGTCTTAAAGTTCGTGTCACTCAGCCATTCATCTCTCAATTTTTGTGTATAATGTTTTTTTTTTATTTTTTTAGGAGTTGATGGACCACTCTCACTTTCGGTAGAACTATCTCTTGCGCGAGACATAATTTTTACAAAAAATTTAAATTAAGTTTTAAGTGTTAATTTAAAAAAAATTACACTTAAAACTTAATTTAAATTAAGTACATCAGAAAATATTTAAGCGTAATATTTTAGAACTAATTACTAAGACGATATACCGGACAATTTAAATGACACATCAATAACATTAAAACAACACTATGGCATTTCCAACTTCATTTACCTGAATAATACCGTCTATACTGGGAATTCCCCAATTCCTCGATGGAATACCATGTACTCTTTTGTGTTGTTCGGCGGACATATTCGTCGCATTCATAATTTACGATATTTTTCATAAGTAGCGTTCATTATAAAACGAAATTTTGTTTTTGGTTGAAGAAAAAATACTGTGTCTCCATACACTGTATTTATAAAAATACGGTGTCCAGTAGACTGCGTCAAAATACGGTAGATCTACTGTAATTACAGTGTATCTGGCAACCCTGATGTGGAGGGATGTGTTTTTCGCGACGACTTCGCGGCAAAATTACGGCGTGAATTCACGCCTCCGATAGGAGTAATAGTGTTCTGTGATTCACGCCGTGAATCACACAGGAGTTGGAGCCCGTATCAGACGTACAGCCGTCGGTACAAACGGTTCGCATGGAATATATGAAAAAGGTTTTTAATATTGTTAATAACAAATTATTATTTATTACTAATTTAGTTGTTATAAATAATAATTTAAAGTAATTTAAAAACTTGATTTAATTCTCATTAACTATTTTGGTGTGGTGATATTGGGTAATATCCACTAGCCCATATCGTCCCTCGGCTGTTGTAAGAGGCGACAAGAGGAAACCTGAATCAAAACATGGACACCAGCATCATTCTGATAACAGCTAGGAAACTCGTGTAAATACGTACGAAGTGAAACTTCTGTACGACATATCGATAATTCTTTTATTTTATATTTTACATAGGTAGGTTAAATAATAGTATACTCATGCAGCCTCGGTGAAACGTTACAAGAAAACATGACTTTTTTTTAAATACCGTACTAAATTTCTCTACCACATTCATAAAGATGTTTCATTTCAATATGCGATTGCCAGGCCGCTTGCCAAGCATGGTAACTATGACAAAATTCCCCTTATGAGGCCAATTTTCGAAAGTGACTTTTTGCCCCGGGTGGCAGATTTTAAGGAGCGGCATTTTAGGAAAGAAAAGTCAGCTCCCTCGCTCTTAATTTTAAAATGGCTCTAATTAAAATATAACGAGATAATAGTATTGAAAGTTCTCTTTGCATTTCTTTTAGTATTGAAAGGAAGAGATAAGAAACTGGCGTGTGGCTTTTGTTTGCGGCTTCGCAAGAACTGAGGATTATGTCTTAGCACCGACCAGTGCCGGATTAACCACGTAGCAAGAGTAGCAATTGCTATGGACCCCGCACAAATGGGGACCCCGCGTATCCAAGCATTCCATCATCGCCTATGCGTACTTTTTAAAGTAAAACTTATTAAGACGGTGTATTCAATTTACTTGATGTCACATAAACGCGAAACATTGCAAATGACAATCGGTAATCGATTATTTCGTTGAAACACGGAATTTCATACAGTAAATGCACAGGTTTCAACGCAAAACACGCCCAGTGGCTCGGTTCTCATACCACTGATTAAAGATCTGTTTACGGCTCTGCCTTGGCATATAGTCTGGCACAACTGGTCACTTTGCCTACGCAGATTCCAGATGTGAGGATCATACACCTTCTCTATTGGATATCAGGTCTCCGTCGATGCCCCTCAGGGCTCTTCGGATTATTTACTAATCTGGAGTACAGTATCACTTGCTCATTGCTGGCAAGGTCTGTAGACTGCCGCCGTGTGTGATATTGTAGGTCAGCGGATTGGGATGGTATGTGGGCTTTTTTTGCATTCTATCCATGGGGAGCGGATTATTTTCCAGCTAGATGATGATGTGTTACTGCAGGAAGACGGATAACGGCCCAGCTATGCCCACATGGGTCGGCTCGACCGGGAAAGGACCACGCTCTCACAGAATACCAGCGTGAAATAGTAGCTTAATGCTGCTGTATTTCGTATGGTGAGTGTAGAGAACCGGAGACCCTTTTTACTGGAAACGAGGCATTCCATCTTAGTTCTCACGGGTGACAACGCATCTGCATTTTGATTCGTAATCGAGGATAGATGTAGATGTCTATGGGCTACAGCAACCACTTACCATCAGGTGGACTGTGTGCTCGTTTGTCACCCTATCCTATAAAAAATGGCAGCAGCTCCAGCAGTGCCACGACCCCAAGCGAGAGAAGAGCCTAAAAGCCAGAGAATGAGATGGCCAAATACTCGCCTATCGTGGCAGAATGTCTCCCGGACTGGACGAAATATTTCGAGGAGCTCAACAGAAAGTTGGGCCACCCTCCTAATGCTCGTCCGTTCGGGAAGGGCGTAAGATTCTCATTGCAGAGCCCGGATGAGTTTAGAACCATCCAACGATACATGGTCGAGCTCTCGAAGGAGCTACCATCAATGTCCTGGTACTGCTATACCCCGGAGGAGGAGAATCCCACTAAAGTGGGCATCTGGGGACTGCCAGTGGGCACTGTGACCAAAAGAATAGAGGTGGCTATCCGGGCAAAGGGTTTTACAATTAACTATGTGAAAGCCATACCGCCACGTAGAGGCAGACCTGGACGCCTCTATTATGCACAGCTGGACCACCTGAGCATGGAGCGGCTCCAAGAATTATACACAATCGACGAGCTCTTCTATGTGAGAGGGGTCGTCATCGAAGCCTGGCAAAGGAAAGCGGGACCGGCACAATGCCATCGTTGGAAAAGGTGATCGCTACCAAGCTATTTGTAATTTGTCTTGTGTTGTTGATTGTAAACATGATTGTAAGCTATTATTTGAAGAAAAAAAATAGTCCCGCTGGGTTTCTTGCTGGTTCTTCCCAGGACAGAGGTTTTTTTTGCGAACTAAAAATAAACGAAAAAATTGACTTTCAATAAGTATTGTTTCCCCCGGCACTAATGAAATTGTTAATTGCAATTTTAAGTACTGATTTACCACGTGCTCGCCGGTGAAGGGAAACATCGTGAGGAAACCTGCAAGTCTGAGAAATAAGAAAAAAAAATATTTCGAAGACATGTGAAGTTCGCCAACACGCACTGACATTTCCTTGCCCTAAAAACCCTCTCAGAAATGAGAGGAGGCCTGTGCCCAGCAGTGGGACGTATATAGGCTGTAACTTTAAGTATTGTTTATAACCTACATTGAATAAAAAAGTTTCTGTTGCCAGGCTTTCGGGCATGCCTCCGCCAACTGCTTCAGGTCAGTGACATGTGTTCGCTGTGCTGGGGAGCACATCGCCAGCCTTTGCCCAAGGGGTAGAGATGAAGAGCCGAAGTGCACCAACTGCGCCAAGAACCACACGGCCAACGATCGCCGCTACGCAATCCTGAGAAGGATTGCCAGGAAGCAGGGGATCGTTCTGCCGAGGCTAGTCCCGGCAGAAAGAACCCAAAGAGGATCCCGCAGAGTAGTCCAAAAGCAGTTACCATCCAGGAGGACGGGTTGGCCACCGTCAGAGGAAAGGGTAGGCAGTCAGCCCCCCCCCCCCACAATACCAATGGAAACGGTGGAACCCGCTTAAACAAGGGCAACCACCGGGTCGACTCTCCAGCCCACCGCTAACGACGCCACAGAGCGCCAGACCTCACGGAGGAGGAACAGGATTTAGGACCTGACTCCATAGGGGTCTTTTGTTAATCTTAATATATATAAATTATGTGTCACGTTGTTTGTCCGCGAGGGACTCCTAACTCACTACAACTACTCAACCGATTTTAATAAAATTTTCACACCGTGTGCAGTTTGGTCCAACTTGAGAGATAGGATAGTTTTTTTTGCCCAAGAATTTTTTATAAGACATGACAAAGGATCATCGAAAAGGGCAGAACAATGTCTGCCTGGCAAGCTAGTATTTATTATAGAGGAACGGGCAATACAGTTGGCGGGCAACTAGTGACTGCCTGAAAAAACTTATCCACAAAGTATATAGGAACAACCTCTCAAAGTATACATGCGTGTGTGTGCGCAGCACACCTACAATACTTACCCCTTTATAAAACAATCAATAATAAAAAAAACTTTAAACTATACAATGAATACAAACAAAAACTTAAAACTAACAAAAAAAACTTGCTAATGCGTTGGGGCGCAGGGCTATACGGAGAACCCTGCGAAAGGGGCGGCTGCCGCGGCGGGCGCGGGCGCAGAGTGCAGACTGGCAGACTGCATGCATGACTGCAGACTGGTGCTAGAAGTACCTATCATCCGACACATTTTCTGGCCCGATATCGGAACGCCTGCTATTAACACTTGACGGTGAAGCTAGCTTTTGAACTTCTAAATAAACTTTACCCAAACAGTGTACAAGATTATCGCCCCCATAAAACTGGCTATCACATATAAACATATTTGAAAATTATTCACTTTATTCTCTACAGTATTCTGAGCTTGAGAAATTATACTAGTTTTTCTTGAAAATTACCCATGGTAAAAATCGTAAAACTTTTACCACTAATGCTTTCGCAAAGCAAGTATTTCGAATGAAATAATTACATTATAACTAAACTAACTACCTAGACCTAAATGAAACTGCAGTATACGCAAAATACTAAACACAATACCTCTACAATTACATTCAACTTAACGGAGAACACTTGAACTTGAATATCCCGAATGAAAATATTCTACACCTAACACTGCAAATAATACTTTCATCTCCATAGTAACTAAACCTGATTATTATTTAAACATGTAATTCTATTATATATACACTAACTTATCATTAATCGTGAAGGTAACTTAACAATGCGACCACTCCGCGTTGTTTTCACGGTTATCGGGTTGCCCGGGCCGGGTAATGACGACGTCACGGCGTGGGCGGTGGTAACGCGAACCGTACATGCGCAGGCACCACATCCGCTGCGTTGTCAGTGTTACTGTGGCGTGGCG